ATTATTTTGGACCGCAGTTTAGCAAAAATAGTGGTATGACTCTACAATCTCACTCTCAATTTCTGTGTCCTTTTTTTTTTTTAATTGAAAATTTTTAAAAAATTTACAATATAACTCCCCACCTCCCTCAAACCCCACCCTTCCCCACCCCCTCCCTCCCCCCCGACTTCCCAGAGCTACACACAGGGTTTACAATACAATAATTATACTCTGTCTTACATTATATTACCCTTAAGTTAACAATTCTATAACATCCTTTAGCTCTCTCCTAAACTAACATATTAAACATCATTATTACTAATTATATAATTTTAATAAAATAAACTACATTAACAATCTCAAATTTACTCAAAAACCAAATGAAACTTTTTAGTTCCATATTTATTCTCAATATAATCTATCCATCTTCTCCAAACCAATATATATCTTTCTTGTGAATAATCCTTCACATAGGCTGAAATCTTAGCCATTTCTGCTAAATTTGAAACTTTAAATGCCCATTCTGTGTCCTTTTGATGATTCCGTGTTTTCCTAGCATGTTAAAAAAATGTCTCGGGTATCTAAATTAAGAAAAATCAAGCTTGAATAGTCAACACTGTTGAAAGCTGACAGGGTCTTAGGACTTCCAGTCTTGATGGATTTTCTGTTACAATTTCTTCAAAAATGCAGATGGGGAGATGTGATGTTGGAAACAGGCTCAAATGGGCCAATTTTATTCTTGACCGTTGTCCTGAGTGATGACCAAACAGTCTTTCAAAATGAAAAGCTCTACTGTTTTGAACTCGGTGGGGGAAGAAATGGACAACCATATTTGCATTTTTCCAGAGGCGTATAACTTTAATATAAGCTGAAAGTTTGTTTTAAGGAGATTCCCCCGAAGATCAGATACTCAGCTGCAGTGGAAACACATGGATAAAGTTTCTGAAGGCATATATTCTGTACAGTAGGATCCAGTTTCCTAATTAAATTAGGGACAAAAACTCAGGGGCTGATTATATAATACTAACATCCATTCAGAACAATAGGCGGGAGCTGATTTTGGTAGTGTATTAAATCTGGCATTAATAATGGGTTTCAGATGTGGTTTCAGATTTGTAAGGAAGCCTTTGCAATAAGCCCCAAATTAGTATAATACCGGTTCTTAAGATGCTGTTGTTCTGGCCTCGATTCCTAGTGCTGGTTATCTTGAAAACATACATAGACATGGAATATGTGCTATTCTGCGAGTTGTATTGATGTGATGCCTTCCTATTGGTTGATTGGTCTGGTGATAGCTGGCGATTGGCTGCTGTTTCCTTGTGCTGTCAACTCCTTGGCCCCTAAGTACTTGATAAGCTGGTGGTAAATGAGCACTCCTATTGACTGACAAGGGATCCATTTCCCAGGCTTCAATCCATTTCCCTGGCTGTTTTTGTACCTGCTCGGCCGACAATCTTAGTAGCTGTGAAATTGAATGTGCGTCCTTGTTCACTGCAATGTGAGGCTACCCATGGGTTTGGGTCTCCTCGATGGACTGCTCACTTGTGTTCTTGCATGTAGACATATCAAGCAATGCAACGCAGTGTAGGATCTGAGAGACTGGATATTTGGGGAGAATATAAGTAGTCGTTGACTTGACATCCATTCATTTAGCAATTATTTGAAGGGATGAAAATGTGATTTATGGCTGGTCCTGGAACTAAACCGTTGCAGCATGTCTAAGGTCATGTGATCAAAATTCAGGCATTTGGTACCGGGCGTCGTATGTATGATGGTTGCAGCATCCCAGGGTCATGTGATCCAGGGATCCTTTCCAGCTGGCTTTCCATGAGAAAACTCATTAAGGAAGCCAGATTCGCTTAACAAATACACGATTCACTTAACAACTGCAGTCATTGGCAAAACAGGCTATCAAATTGGGTGAGACTCTCTCAATTGCCTTTTCCTAGCCATGGAAATTCTAGCCCCAGTTGTCATCATAAGTCAAGGACTACTTGCACTCATGAAGTTCAGGGTACAAAGCCATTTGATGGTGGCCATCTGAGTATGAGTGACCCCACGTTTCCTTGCATTTCACAAATAGAGTCATTAAAGTCACTTTATTTGAACACCTTTTGGCATTTAGTTGATCACTGTGCCTCGTTACACTGTGTATATCCTTCTTTTCCTTTGGTTTGTCTAATATATCTTTCGTAGTTTAGATATATCTTACAAAACCAGTTTGGTCTAGTGGTGAAGGCACCAGGCTAAAAGTCAGGAGACTGTGAGTTCTAGTCCTGCCTAATGCCTGAAAGCCATCTGGGTGATTTTGGGCCAATCACAAGGAGATGGTGAGTTCTAGTCCCGCCTTAGCCATGAAAGCCAGCTGGATAGCTTTGGGCCAATCAGAGGAGAGTGTGAGTTCTAGTCCCACCTTAGCCATGAAAGCCAGTTAGATAGCTTTGGGCCAATCAGAGGAGACTGTGAGTTCTAGTCCCGCCTTAGCCATGAAAGCCAGTTAGATAGCTTTGGGCCAATCAGAGGAGACTGTGAGTTCTAGTCCCGCCTTAGCCATGAAAGCCAGTTGGATAGCTTTGGGCCAATCATAGGAGATTGTGAGTTCTAGTCCCACCTTAGCCATGAAAGCCAGTTAGATAGCTTTGGGCCAGTCAGAGGAGACTGTGAGTTCTAGTCCCACCTTAGCCATGAAAGCCAGTTAGATAGCTTTGGGCCAATCATAGGAGACTGTGAGTTCTAGTCCTGCCTTAGCCATGAAAGCCAGCTGGATAGCTTTGGGCCAATCATAGAAGACAATGAGTTCTAGTCCTACCTTAGCCATGTAAATGACCTTGGGCCTGTCCCTCTCTCTCAGCCCAGCCTACCTCACAAGGTGGTTGTGAGGAAAACAGGAGGTGGAAGAATATTGGATGCGTTCACCGCCTTGAGTTATTTGTAAAAACTAATATCGGTGGGATACAAGTAAATAAAAATAAATAAAATCCTCATCTATTAAGAGTCAGACCTCGGACAGAAAAAAAATAAAAATAAAAAAGCATCTTGGGCAGTGTTGGTTTTACAGTTTCTGGTTACGAACATGTGAAATGGAACTATTTCTGTCAATGTTGCCAAAGCCTATACTACTATAAATTGAAATAATTTTACTAGCTGTGTAGCTCTGTCTCTCTCTCTCTCTGTGTGTGTATGCACACTTGCTATTGTTGTTTTAACACATTCATTTTTCGGCAGAATCGAGTTAGTGACACCGTTATCAAGCAAGTTTTTTTCCTTATGTGGGAGAAACTGAGCAGTTTGCCAGACATATGTTAGCACATTTATCATCCTCTTATTATTATTATTTTTTCCCCTCAGGGATTTGAGAGAGAACTATTGCCGAAATCCAGACGGAGCTGAGGTACCCTGGTGCTTTACGACTAATCCAAATATTCGGATTGGAGATTGTTCCCAAATCCCAACATGCAACACATCCACGGAGAAAGGTAACGCCGGCTACATAGATAAGGAAAGTTTAAAATAATATACTAAAGATTATGATAATCTGCCCTGAAGTGATCCTTAAGACTTGGAGCATGATAGAGATCTGGTTAAGTACGATGGCTTGTAGGAAAAAGCAATATAATATTGTAGCTAAGCTGACACATTCACAAAATCCGTTGTGTTTTTGACAATGAGTTGCTTCTTGGCAGATGCTTCTTTGAGTGCTCCTGAACAGTATTTGATATGTTATACAAAAAAGATATGTGATGCAAGAAAATGGTTGGAAACTAACCAAAGAGAGAAGCAACCTGGAATTAAGGAGAAACTTCCTAAAGTGAAGACAATTAACCAGTGGAACAGCTTGCCTTCAGACATTGTGGGTGCTCCATCACTGGAGGTTTTTAAGAAGAGACTGGACAGCCATTTGTCTGAAATGGTATAGAGTCACCTGCCTGAACAGGGAGTTGGACTGGAAGACCTCCAAGATGAGGACAATTAACCAGTGGAACAGCTTGCCACCAGAAGTTGTGAATGCTCCATCACAGGAGGTTTTTAAGAAGAGCCTAAACAGTTGCTTATCTGAAATGGTATAGGTTCTCCTGCTTGATCAGGGGGCTGGACTAGAAGACCTCCAAGGTCCCTTCCAGCTCTATTCTATTCTAAAAGACACTGAGACCCTAGAAAGAGTGCAGAGAGGAGCAACAAAAATAATAAAGGGTCTAGAGGTGAATCGTATGATGAATGATTCCAGGAGCTAGGAATATTTTGTGGGATCCTCAATGATCTCTGATATTCGTGGTTTTGTTGCGGACATTTCATGACCCAACTAGGAAACACTATCAGTGCTAGAAGGGGGTGGGGTTTGGTCTTAGTTAATATACCAATGTCGTAGTGGTTCTTGGTGCTTCCTTAATTAGGCTGTTGTTTATTGTTTGATAGTTTGTCTATATTGCTAGTTCCTTAATTCAGGTATTGTTTACTGATTGACTGTTGGTCTAGCGTTAATTCTGATATTCATCTCCTTTTCTGGATCTCTGCTTATCTATATTTTTTGTCTGACTAATGTGTTTCTGAATCTTGATTACTTAATAAGTAGTAGATAACAAATGGCTTTTCTTTCTATTAAACATTTTTCTCTTGGTTTCATTGATCCTCAGCTGGCTGGAAATAAACGGGTAGCCCTTGGTAAAATCTGTGATCTATATAGCCCTGTTCAAAGATTTTAGAGACTGCTACTAGATGTAGAATGACAGGGATAAATTTCAGGAATTTAGCAAATGGTTCAGTAGACACTGTAATCATTCTGGTTGAGAAGCTCAGCATGATGCCATCAAAGGTTATCTTGGTTTAACTGTTATCAGAAAGCTACCAGGGTTAGAATTGCACAGAAGACTTTTACAAGCTACTATCGCTATAGGTTATCCTGAGAAATTTACTGTGTGTAAATGTGAATCTATACATCTCTTGTTCTTGTTTTAACCACCCAGTCATGTCTGACTCTAGCTGACTTTATAAGCAAGTTTTCTGTATGCATATATCTCTACATATCTAAATATTATGGAAGAGGGAAATTGCAATATATTTGACAAGCAATGTCCATCAACAATTGAATGGCAGGGAGGGGTCTAGACCAACTCATCACAGCCAACTTGCCATGGCCAACATGTTATGGCCAACTCACCATGGCCAACTTGCTAATGGTCAACTTACCATAGGACAACTCACCATGGCCAACTTGCCACAGTCAACTTGCCCTCGCCAACTCATCATGGCCAACTTGCTAATGGTCAACTTACCATAGGACAATTCACCATGACCAACTTGCCACAGTCAACTTGCCCTAGCCAACTCATCATGGCCAACTTGCCATGGTCAACTTGCCATGGTCAACTCACTGAGGGACAACACATCATGGCCAACTTGCTATGGTCAACTTGCCATGGTCAACTCACTGAGGGACAACACACCATGGCCAACTTGCCACAGTCAACTCGCCCTCGCCAACTCATCATGGCCAACTTGCTATGGTCAATTTACCATAGGACAACTCACCATGGCCAACTCACCATGGCCAACTTGCCATGGTCAACTCACTGAGGGACAACACATCATGGCCAACTTGCTATGGTCAACTTGCCATGGTCAACTCACTGAGGGACAACACACTATGGCCAACTTGCCACAGTCAACTTGCCCTCGCCAACTCATCATGGCCAACTTGCTATGGTCAACTTGCCATGGCCAATTTGCCATAGGATCAAAGAAATGGTGGACTAGGTCATTAAGGAAAGGATGCCAAAGGAGAGACAAAAACTAAAAAATAATAATTATTTTAAATAATTAAATTGAATTATTGAATTATTGTCCTATTCCAGCAGAGAGAGGAAGACACGAGATTTCATCTATAGAGCAGTGTTCATCTACTTTAAGAGGTGCAGACCTTAACTCCAAGAATTTCCCAGCCAGCATCCTGAGGAATGCTTCAAGTTTCCAAGTTGGAGAAACTTTATAGAGTTTTTATTTTGTAGTCATCGCTGATGGCAGCATCGACCCAAATCTTGACTGATGTTGAAAAAGTTAAACATGATTAGACCTAGTTACTTTCAAGAGGGACCTGAAAATCCCAACTAATTTTTTTAAAAAAATATGGAAGAAGGCATGGGTAAATCACTTCTGGAATGATGCCAAGAAAGCTTCGTAGACCTGCCTATAAAGTCACCAAGAGCCAAAGTTGACTCAAGGGATTCTTTGCTTTTATCTAGCTGGTGGTCTCTGGGTTTTAGCAAATAAGCAAAGGCACTCCTACAAACTTAAAACCCCTCCATTTCTGCTGCAGCGTGCTGAGAACATCTGGATTTAAATCACAGCGCTGAGATATCCTGGCAGATTTCAAATACGCTAATGCATTGACTGACCTTGTCAAGTTCACAGTCAACAAATTACCATTTAAGCTAAAACTTCTCCAGCACATCTGCAGGAGATGGCAGGAAGAAGGCACTTATTTATTCCTGGATTACATATTTACATCTTGAGACCTATTTACTGAGCTTCAAACCTATTAATCAATTAGAACAATTAAATCAGTGGAACGACTTGCCTCCAGAAGTTGTAGGTGCTGCAACACTGGAGGTTTTTAAGAAGAGATTTGATCACCATTTGTCCAGAGTGGTATAGGGGGTTGGACTAGAAGACCTCCAAGGACCCTTCCAACCCTATTATTCTATGTTTTATATTTTATATAAAACTAATGCATCTAACATGACTGGGAGAAAGATGCAGACTTAAGGAGTTGGACACTGCAGAATCAAATGATGCCTTGCGTTGACTTGTGAATGGGTCATCAGAAATGCAGCATGAGTGGTCAGGATCTGCTTGTTTTTATGTGCCGTGTAAAATACACTCTCCTCCTGTGGAGTCACATAACATATTCGGAGTCATCAAATGTGGGAATGTGTGATTATGGAGAAATGTCCTGACAGTGAGAACAATTAATTAGTGGAATGGCTTGCCTCCAGAAGTTGTGAATGCTCCATCATTGGAAGTTTTCAAGAAGTGATTGGACAGCTATTTGTCTGCAATAGTATAGGGCAGGGGTAGACAACCTTGGCTCTTTTATGACTCGTGGACTTCAACTCCCAGAATTCCTGAGCCAGCCACACTGAGGGGAAAGGGAGAGATTTCCAAGCTGAGCCATGGTGGCTCAGGAATTCTGGAAGTTGAAGTCCACAAGTCATGAAGGGGCCATAGTTCCCCCATGCTGGCTTAGGAATTCTGGGAGTTGAATTCCACGAGTCATGAAGGGGCCATAGTTCCCCCATGCTGGTTCAGGAATTCTGGGAGTTGAAGTCCATGAGTCATAAAAGAGCCAAGGTTGCCTACCCCTGGTATAGGGTCTCCTGCCTGAGCAGGGGGTTGTGTAAAAGACCTCCAAGGTCCCTTCCAACGCTATTATACTGTTATTCTGACCTGTCTTGTACCCATCTGCCCGTGGAATTTTACACATTAGTTCATACAGTATTTCCTATTAAAGTATCCCATTGATCTGTATTACTATGTTGTATTAACTTGCACGCTATACTCTATGTCAGAGGTCTCCAATCTTTCTCGGTTGGCTGATGGGGAAAGGGAGGGGGGGTGCAGGGGTGTGGGTGTGCACGCACAAACGGGGCCACGAGTGTGCACAATGCAAACGGGGCAGTGCTAGCGCCTGTGGGAAGAATCCAGAGAAATAAATATTTTGGGGGATATTAAAAAGGCAGAATATATTTCCCTAAAGGAATAATGGAGAAGATCTTTAAAAAAAGATAGAAACCAGTGCCAGCCCCTCTCCCCCAAGCAGAAAACTCAGAGGAGGCCAGCTTTTAGAAATGCAAATTCAATAATCCCTCCAGGAAGGTTGGAGCAAGGAAGCTAGAAATTAGGAAGACAAAGACCCCTAAAATCTATATACCTCCCACCCAAATTCTAAGGACAGGAGACTTAAAAGGATTAATCCATCAATACCAAAAGGACACACTCAGACTCAGGTCAAAGTACATGACACCGGAAATACAAAGCCTCAAACAGGAACAGGAAACAACCTCAAGAGCCCCAGAAGATATAAAAGCCCACCACTCACTGCTCCGTGTGGTCAGTTTTTCCAGAGCCATCTTTCTGTCTGGCTCTCCTCTCCAATAAACTACAACCTTCTTTCTAAAGCAGTCTCCATTTTGTTTATTCCCAGCTTGGACTGGACCCTGATTAAGATTTTTCTTTCAACACACCCATGTGATACTCGCTAGCACCGCCCCATTTTTGCCGCAGGGGTGATAGCATCGTCCTGTTTTCGCCATGTGGTGCCCTGTTTTTACCCTGAGTCACCCTCTTTGTATAGCAGCAGCGCTGCTCGCACAAGTGGGGGTGTGAGCACGCACACCCAGGTGCGTGCACTGGCTAGCCTGTTCTGCGGCCCACTGGCCAACAGGCCACGGCCCAGTAATGGGCCGTGACCCGCAGGTTGAGGACCCCTGTTCTATATTTTAAACATTTTCAAACTTGAGTTAAGGAGGATCTAGAAAGAATGGGTTTTTCTCAAATGGGAGCAGTGATAATACGATAGTTTCTCTTAACAACTTTGACCTGTTGTTTTTTTTTTTTTAATCCGAAACGCACAGATTGTTTTCGAGGAAATGGGACAAATTATATGGGCAATTTAGCCCAGACACGGTTCGGCTTGACTTGCTCTATGTGGGATAAAAACATCCAAGATTTAAGAAGGTATGTACAAAATTAATTCAGAGTTATATTTCCCCCTCCTAGACAGGGTGGAACACTGTAACGTATCATACAAATGCCTTCCAGGTTTCAGGCTGTCCAGTTTTAGCCTTGATTTATTTTCTTTCTTATTAATCGGATATATTCTTTTTTTTTTTTTTTTTATAGAGGGGATGGTTGTTTTAAGAAAAAAAGTGCAGACTATGTGATCGAGGAAAAAAGATTTAGGAAGAGTTACAATTAAATCCTGTAGCCCACCCCAAATTCCCTTTTCACTGTTTTTAGAATACCATCATGTCATCTTATGCAATTATTTAAAAGGTTGTGGTTTTTTTTTAAAAAAAAGAACCTAAGAAATTATGTAAGTTTAGCAATAGCAATAGCAGTTAGACTTATATACCGCTGCTTCAGGATGCTTTACAGCCCCCTCTAAGTGGTTTACAGAGTCAGCATATGGCCCCCAACAATCTGGGTCCTCATTTTATCAACCTTGGAAGGATGGAAGGCTGAGTCAACCTTGAGCCGGTCAGTTTCTTTCTTTCTTTCTTTCTTTCTTTCTTTCTTTCTTTCTTTCTTTCTTTCTTTCTTTCTTTCTTTCTTTCTTTCTTTCTTTCTTCTCTGTATCTATCTATCTATCTATCTATCTATCTATCTATCTATCTATCTATCTATCTATCTATCTATCTATCTATCTATCTATCTATCTATCTCCATCTCTCTGTCTCTCTGTGTCTATCTCTAACTGGTTTCTACAGCTGCCCATTTCAGCAAAGAGGCAAGCTCACAATTCCGAAACATATATTACAATGAAAATCTGAAAAACAATGTAAAACAAGGAGAACAAGAAAGACCAATAAAACATTGCGAGAACTTTAGAATCCACCATGCTGCATTTCCTCTTTTGAGTGGGATTTCATAGGTGTGTATATCATATCAAGGCTGTATATTACATACGGCTTGCTCATTATGGCGACATATCAATGTTTCTCCAAGAACGCTACAGCAGACGAGATGCCTACATCCTATTTGATCATTCCTCTGTGACAAGCTAGGATTAAGAGACAGTGACTGGTCCAGATTTATTTCAGAATTAGCCACCTTGGAATCCAGGTCTCTCTGAACTAAATGCAACCGTCTTCTAGAATGTGGTTGGGACAAAGCTAATCCTTCCTTGATGCAGTGATTAGCTAGGTTGGCCTTTACATAAATATACTTTGGTATACACAGTGTTCTTTTGTGGGTTTCTCCAGTACACTTATGAATGTCAGTTCACAATTCTTTCACCATACTCAGACCACTCACTTCTAAGACACATGCATTTTTTTTCTCCCCAACCATAACATCTTGGCCTCAACTTTGAGAAATGGCTTCATAAATTTTGGTTCTTCTGCAGGGTTATTTGGTAGAAGCGTTGAATTTAATGTGGCTTCTATTTGTTCACCGTTTATTGTTTTCCACCCCAAAGAGCACGGAATGCAACTTTAATGTGTGCACGTCTGCACTTCAATAGATATTTTTAAAGTTCTGATTATATAACAAGTGGCATGTTTTGTCACTCTTAATTTTTAATTCTTCTGTCCAATTTTC